TAAATTGTGGCCTTGTATTCATAAAACCTTTTAGCTAAATAGTCTGAAACAACAAACACTTGGTTCAGATAGCTTCACAAAACATTTTAAAGTATAATATGACATTGAGATTTATTCAATTTTTTTTCTTCAGTGTCTTCCAGAGTTGTCACACATCCCTGGTCTGGTCTTGTCAGGAAGCACCTTCTCTGACTGCCTGATGTTGCTGCAGTTTGTGCATGGCTTTGGAAAGGTCCTGGGATTAGACATGAATTTAAACAACCTCAACTTAAGTGTCCTTCAAGAGGGTTTACTTAACACCAGGGGCAGTATGGGAAAAGTGCAGGACCTGCTGGTGAGCATGGTTTCTGCAGCTGTGCGTGATCCTGGTATACCTGCAGGTCACAGGGTGAGTCTGTCATTGTCAGTATAGTATTTGTACAGTTGTTGAATTGTAAATGATTTGTGGGTTAATCACTAAATATGCACACACACTCATACTGATCAGACACAAGTGTTACATTTAATAGCTTTACATACTTTCACTATTTCTGTAGCTGATGCAGAACAACTACAGTAGGACAAAAGAAGAGTTTTGTTTTTGTTCAATATATTTAAGAAAGAACTGACAGCAAGGACACTTCAGGTTATTACATTCTGTATAAGGAAATGTTGGCAACAGCATAATAGAGGGGGCAGACTGCCTCTTCTCTGCTAACCAGTCAGAACACACTTTAGGTTTCTGTTCCTCTTCTGTTTGACATTGTAGTATACAAACATGTGTATTCTTCACACTATGTAGGTGAAGAAGCATTTATTAAACACACTATTAAGCGCGTTTATATCAATATTTTTTCTTTTAGAGCAAAACCAGCCTAGGGGAACACTTGACTAATGTGGCGATCAACAGAGACAATGTGTCTGAGATCCTGCAGATCTACATGGAGGCTCACTGTGATCAGACAGAGTCAGCTGCTCTGGCCCTCAGTCTCAGGACTAAAGCTTTTCAGGCCCACAGTCCGTCTCAGAAGGCCTCCATGTTGGCGTTCCTGGTTAATGAGCTCTGCTGCAGTAAAGCTGTGATCAGGTGAGGGACCCAGTTCCTTCTAAAACTCTCATATCTCACTTCTCCTTTAATATTCACAAAAAGAAAATTATGAGAAAAAAAACTGTTTTTTCAAAGTGTTTCTAAATTTGTTTTGAATGAGCCATTTCTATTTTGTAAAGTTGATTGCTTGCACTGTTTAAACAAGTGTTTCTTATGTGCCTTGAGCTTAAGTTAATCTCTTTGCCTGAGAGCAGAAAATATTCACTTGTTTTATTCATGAGGGCTCAAATTTTGATGAAACAACAGATGTATCAAAAGGAATATGACAATTCATAGTCTGATGGATAGTTTCAAAAGGTTGCATCAAACTATGTTTCATTAATCTTTCATTAGTACCAGCAACACTTTGAAAGGTATCTGCCGCAGTGTGCTGCAAATGTATAATTCTAAGAAGTGCATGACGATTACAAAAGCATGTTTTTCAATGTTACTTTGCAGTGAGATCGACAAGAACATCGATCACATGACCAACCTGAGGAAGGATAAGTGGGTTGTAGAGGGAAAGCTCCGCAAGTGAGTACATGCTTCATCCAAGTTGTTACAAGAAGGTTTTGTGCATAGTTTTCAAAATCTTTTTATAAATAAATGAAATTGTGATGCTAAAACAACCTGGAATTCCTTACTAGTCAAATCACACAAGAATGAAAACCGAGTTTTCTTTCTCATCTGTCCATTCCTGCGTTCAAAGACTGAGGAGCATCCACACCAAGAGGACAGGGAAGAGAGACAGCAGTGTGGGCGGAGATGACAGCCACACCTTCGTCATCCCCACTGCCAGAAGCAAATGCAAGAGGAAAGAAGGAGACAGTGAGGAAGAGGAGGATGACGATGACGACAGCGAGGACCAAGGAGACGACGATGACGAGGAGGAAGAAGATTCTGGGGGAAAGAAAGGGAAGAAAGTAGAGATATGTGAGGAGGAGGTCAGTAACAGTAACAGCATGATGCTTTTTTTTTTTTTTACTGTTGCCAGCGGCTAAATCAGCAGTTGTTATAGTAAATGTCAGTCACTCCACTGGCCTCACACTAATGAGATCTTTTCATCTAGGACGACAGTGTGCACTCCGCCAGTGTGGAGGAGCTGGAGAAACAGATTGAGAAAACATACAAGGTAAATTTAACCCATATGTATTTTCTCAGGATAAGCTCTTTAATAAATTTAACAAATCCCATTCTACCTCTGTTTTCTGTCTCTTTAGCAACAGAGTCAGATCAGACAGAAGCTGCTAGACTCATCTCACTCTCTGCGCTCCATGATGATTGGACAGGACCGCTTCAAAAGGCGTTACTGGGTTCTCCCGGAGTGTGGCGGCATCTTTGTTGAGGGCATGGAGAGCAGTGAAGGTGAAAACTCATACTGATATGATACTAATGTATATGTCTGTTATGCACTCTGAGCTGATTTTTTTCATGTTACTCAGGTTATGAAGAGTTGGAGAAGGAGAGACAGGAAACAGCTCAGATGATCAGAATAAAGGAGGAGCAGCTGGAAGAGACCAAGATGCAGGTGGTGTCCAGCCCAGCACCGAGCACAGACAGAGATACAGCCACACCAGAGAGCCAGCAGGACAAAGACAGTCTCAATCTCTTCCTCCAGAAACCTGGCTCCTTATCTAAGCTCAGCAAACTCCTCGAAGTGGCCAAAATGGCTCGATTTTCAAACATCAATCCTTACAACAGCCAGAACAGTAGCTCCGCTAAAATCCCTTCCACTGCATCTTATCCCTCACATCCCTCCTCTCAGACAGGAATATCCCACAGCCCCCCACCTGCAACCACCCCGCAGGGACTGGCAGATAAAACAGACACTTCAGGGCCATATCCGCTCTGTGCCCCCCAGCTCAAAGGCAGCCCCTGGATAACCTCCAGCCCCCAGTCTGTCCTTCAGGACGATCAGCTCACTAAGATACTGATGGAGAAGAGCAGCCAGTGGTTTAGCCTCTTGCCTCGCTCTCCTTGTGACGAGTACTCGGTCACCTCTGGCTCCAGTCCTCCAGCCTCCTCCTCTTCTCCACACACCGTGAGCACCAAATCCCCCTCCTCCCTCTCCCCTAATCCCCCAGCTGCAGCCGGCTACGCCGCTCCTGCTGGGATCAATAACATGCATTCTCCTGTCCTTCAGGTTAGTGGATAAGTAATGCTGTCTTCATCTCAGCCACAATTATTTCCAGTCATGTTGTGCTTTTTTAGAACAAGGATATGTTGCAAGAATGATTCCATATTACATGACAATTTCCTCATTTTGCAAGCCCATGAGAAACTCCAATCTTTGCTGGAGCGATTGTTTTATACATTATGTATGTGCTAGTGGAATTAAATGGTGTGTGTATTCTTCCTCTCAGCAAGTAAAGTCTGGCATTCATCAGAGTGGACTGACACTGTGTGACACATCCAGTGCAGCCACAAGTCTCAGCCTGCCCTTCGGCACTTCTCTACCCCCTGTGCTGGATCTGGCCTCCCAGCATGCGGAGGGTAGTGGGAGCAGGGTCTTCCTCCTGGTGAATAACAACACTGTCAACAAGCTTGAGACCCCAGAGGCCCTGCGTGACAAACCCCCTTGTGCCTTCTTCCCTGCTGTGGAGGCGGCCAAGACCCAGGACTACCCCAGACCTCTGCCTATCCCTGAGGGTAAGGACGGCTCGCTGCCAGTAGTTAAATATGCTGGACTAAAGATATTCACTGCCCAGACATTACTGGAATACATGCTGTGATAACTGTCACTCAGTTTTACAACTTCCTTATGTTGCTCAAATTAAGCAATTAACAATACTTCTCTCTTTTGTTGGCAGAGATGCTGCACGGTTGGTGGCGAGTGTCAGACGTGCACGAGCTGCACAGTCTGGTGAAGTCGCTCCACAGTCGAGGCATCAGAGAGAAGGTCCTACAGAAACAGTTCCAAAAACATATGGAGTTTGTGACCCAGCTCTGTGCCAACAGCAAAGATGGTGTGTCCACAACTCCTCTGCTCACTTTAGTTCTCTTTAATCAAAATCATATTGTTGTGTGATCTTTTCATGTCACCTGCTACCAAATTAATATGTATAAATATGCTGCTTTTCATAGACATGTAGTCATTTGCTGTATTGTCTGTATGTATCTGTGGGGGCAGCATTTGATGTGGCAAAGCTGGAGAAAGAAGAAGTGAGTGAGAAAACAGTGGAGAGTTGGTGTGTGGAGGAGCAGGCCATGGAGGTGGACATCAGCCTACTGCAGCAGGTCGAGGCTCTGGAGAGGAGAGTCGTCTCTGCCAGTCTGCAGATCAAGGTAAAAGTATCCTGCACGTTTGTCTACTTACAGCTCATACAAATATTCCAAATTTGATTTAGATGCAATATCATTGTATATTCTTTGTCGAGTATATCTTCAGATAGGATTTAGGGTCCTTGCATTTAGGATGTGCATTTCTGTGTCACCAAACACCATATTTCACTATATCCCTCAGGGCTGGATGCACCTTGAGCCCCAGTCAGAGAGGGAGGATCTGGTCTATCACGAACACAAGCTCATCTCTTCTCCAGCTCCTGAAAACAAGTGTCAAAGAGAAACCAGCCCGGAGAAACTCCCTGGCAGTGTGGGGCGTCGGCCTAACAATCCTCTTGATATAGCTGTCATTAGGCTGGCAGAGCTGGAGAGGAACATTGAACGAAGGTATCTACAAACATAAACATTCAGATCAACCGGATAAAGTGCGATAAAGTCTGTGATTGTATATGTGATTGCTGTACAGTAATACTGCAGTCTTACTCTCTGTAACCTCAAAGCAGTGAGGACGAGGTGACTCCTGGGATGAGGTTGTGGCACAAAGCCCTCGGTGAAGTCCGCAGCTCGGCTCAGCTGTCACTCTGTATTCAGCAGCTGCAGAAATCCATCGCCTGGGAACGGTCCATCATGAAAGTGGTTAGTGATGCCTCATTTCTATCGCTATAAAATATTTGTTTGTATTATGTCTACGCCAGTGACAGCCATGAACTGCAGGCATTATGATTGTGCATTATCTGTCTGACTGTCCGTCCATCTGTCCCATTCTCTTCTGCTATAACTCAAGAAGTTATGTGTTGTCTTTGACCCATTTTGAGACACATGTCTAATAAGATGAAATAATGAATAATTTGTGTCCAAAAGGTCAAAGGTCAATTTCCCTGCGGTATCACAATGTAGCTCATGAAGAGAAGGTGATAATTTGTAACTCTACGTGTTTTCTTTTGTTTCCAGCACTGCCACCGTTGTCAAAAGGGGGATAATGAAGAACTGCTCTTACTTTGTGATGGCTGTGATAAAGGCTGCCACACTTACTGCCACAAACCTAAGATCACCACAGTTCCTGACGGCGACTGGTTTTGTCCCACTTGTGTTGCAAAGGTAAACATGACACTCATTTCTATTGTCTTTCATTCATTACAATCTCCTAGTCCACAAGCACCGCAGATCGAAGAGCCCCGCTCTGTTCAACTGTCCAATGATATGTTCATTTTTCACATGTCCACATCCATTTAATAAATCTGCATGTTATTTCTTGCGTGTGAATTTACACAAGTTGTTTTTATGTCCCGTCTTTCAGGAAAGCGGTCAATCCCCCTGGAGTAGGAAGCAACAGAACCGAACAGCTGGGGGAGGGAAGAGAGGCAGCGATGTAAAACGAAATAGTAAGCCATCTGTGGTAGGAGAGCTCATCAAAGAGGAGGCTGCCAGCAGCAGCAGCAGCAGCGCGCCAAAGAAAGGTACCAAGGAGTTCAGGAAGAGGAAGGGAGACGACAGTCCGCCCAGCTCCCAGGCCAAGCTTGACAGCCCCGTGTCCTGTGCCAAAAAACCCAAAATGGCCAAAGACAACACAAATGGGCTGGAAATGTGCCGGTAGGTATCAACGCATACTCACTGCATGGATAGAAAACTAATTTATTTCATCTCACTGTTAAAAACACAAACACCACTTATCGATTTCCATGAAGGTTTTTGGGGGAGTGGGTCATGACCCAAGGAGGAACCCATTGGATTAGATTTTACTGTGGATCAAGGATTTTTTTTTACGTTAACATTGCAAGAGTTGGTGTTTGGTAACATTTGTGTTAATTTCTCAGAGAATGATTTATGGATCTTAGTGAAAAAAACCAGGACTGGTATTTATGAGCGTGTGCAGATCCAAATAAAAATCCAGATGTAAAGAATTGAAATGTGGTTTCGTAAGAGGACTGTTGTTGATTATCTAGTTGCTGTGACGACATGTACACAACAATCATCCTTGCACTAACAATAAATCTGTTTCGAGCGTGTTCTAATTTGAAACTATATTAAAATCATATTAAATTATATTTGTGGTGCAAAATGTTCTGCTTTGTCGACTGCTCATTTCCTCCAGAGTTCTGCTGGCCGAGCTGGAGGCTCATCAGGACGCGTGGCCCTTTCTCATTCCTGTCAACAACAAAGCTGTACCCGGGTACAAGAAGGTCATCAAGAAGCCCATGGACTTCTCCACCATCAGAGAAAAACTCACCAACAACCAGTACGCTTGTTTTACTGTTATGTTCATGCATCCTTTATTTCATAATACTTTGTTTCTGATTTGAATGCTGCCTCTGAATTGCAATTAAACGATTTCCAATCTTTGCAGGTACTTAAATTTAGAGACCTTCATCATTGACGTCAACCTGGTTTTTGACAACTGTGAGAAATACAACGAGGATGATTCAGAAATCGGACGAGCCGGACACAACATGAGAAGGTTCTTTGACCAACGATGGACTGAGCTGCTGAAGTAAAAAAAAAAAAAATCAAGTGTGCTATTCTCTACATATCAAACTTCCTCTTTGGTGTCGGAGGCCTTCTCTTCACCTGTGACACTAGATCAGTATAGAGCTGTAATAAAACTGATGTGCAATGTGAAAGGACAAACACTCCATGGATCAGTATCTTCAAGTGCAATACTGTTTAGTTTTCGAAAACAACTCAACATTTTGTTTGGGAATCAAACACGTCTACTGTAGACAGGTCATTGACTTTTTCTTATCATCAGCACTGCAGTATAGCTTTTTGTACATGTGTATTTATTTTTCATATTTATGTTTGAGTCTTTTCTAAGAAACAGGAGATGGCACACAGCTTTAACTAAGTCTTAAGATTGTTTCATGGACTACTGAACAAGCCAATCAAAAAAAAAAAGTTTACAGCATTTATTTGTGACTATGGGGTCCAGCAGTGCTACTGTTCTGTTTAAGTGTGAAATATAAGGAGGTTTACTGTCACATGTAAAGTGTTCATTTCTGTCTTTATTTACATTTCTAAAATGTATAGTGTACATACTGAACAGTCTGTGGATAAGGATAATTGTAGCATTTACAACACTCTGTCTTAACATCCACTCAAACACTGCTTTCCTCAGTATCGTAGTGCCTGACCTCTGAACAGTGTACGGAGCAGTGCATTCGTCTTTCTTCTTTTTCTATTTACAGTGTGTGTGTTCTGTATGTGTGTCCTGCACAATATACTGTAAGAAACCCCTTACACAAAATGCAAAGTTCTCTGTGGTGCATCGTGTTTGATCTCCGAGCCGTTCCTTTAACCAGACTTGTCAGACTTCCTGCGGACAGACGTGACACCTGTGCTGGGCTTTAATCCAGCGGGGAGTTGGACGGAGTCACGGTCGACTGGACGTGTCTCCAGACAGCTGCAGTCAGAAGACTTGGAAGTAACTGGATTTTATTATGAATATTATGAAATTGGTAGCAACTTTTGTAGGTATATTATTTTTAAATGGTGGATGTGTGGCACAGATAAAATAAAAGATTTTTTTCCAAAAGTAACACTATTATTAAACAGTATCTCAGCCTTTAAAGCATGGAAGTTCATATTTATTATCATTTAAAATTGTGTTATGTTAAGGATGCTTACTTGAGCATTTAAACATTTGTTTTACTTTAAACTTCTCTTCACTGGGAGACGTGTTTATTTTTCACTCCGCTCCCGCTGCTTTCATTTCACAGCTGTAGTTATCTGGTCGAATAAAACATGATCAACAAATAAATAAAGTGTTTTAGATCTGATGATCTATCAGAATAAACAGGAGCTCAAACTTAAAAGGCTCCACTGAAAAGAGATTTTGATAAAATAATTACAACAGGACTTTTTAAATTGGGGTTCAAAGTCAGTGTATCTTAGAAAACACATATGGGCAAATAATAAAGTTACACTCCTTCATAAAAATATTTTCAAGCTTTAACTGTTAAAAGATTTTGTTATGGTTATAATATCAGTAGATAACATTAGCTCCACTGAAAAGAGCCACTCTGGGTTATGTTTTTATGGATTTCTTACTTAATGCAACTTGTTTCTGATGGTTACATTAATATTTAAAGACTTTTTAATGTGTGGTTCTGTGTCAGATACTTATAGTAAAAATAATCAAGTGAATTTCCTTCAATAAACAAACAAGTGGACGAGAAGAACATTGTGTGACTGAGGATCACGTGACTGATAACTTCTGAGATAACCACACTTTATAACTGGGCTGAAACAGGAAGTCCATGTCCTGCTGAGACTCCACATCCGCCTTCATCCCTGTGGCAGCTCGCATCAGCTGTTTGTCTCATATTTGATCAGTGTGCGCCCCCTGGTGAGTGAACCTCCTCCTCCTCCTCTTCATCATGGTGTCTCTGGTTCACACTCTGCAGCAGCACACAGACGAGCTGAGCTGCTGCTGCTTCTCTTCCGGCCTGCTCGCCACCTGCTCCGCCGATAAAACCCTCCGCGTGTACGACACCGCGGATTTCTCGGAGCTGCCCGGCTCTCCTCTGTCCGGACACGGCTACGGGGTTCGCTGCTGCTGCTTCAGTTCCTGCGGCCGGAGCCTGGTGAGCTGCTCCACGGACGGATCCATCGTGGTGTGGAACCCGGACACGGGCGAGGCGGCGGCGGAGCTGCAGCACCCGGGTCGCAGTCCGCTCCGGGTGTGCGCTCTGGCCCCGGACTCCTCCCTCCTGCTGGCCGGAGCCTGTGACGGCACCGTGGCCCTCTGGGAATTCTCCTGCAAGACACTGCGCAGGTACAAGACAACCCACAGTCCCCAGCTCTGTAGATAAAGTGACACTTGAAGTGTTTCTGCACAAACATTCATAATATTAACATGATAAGAAATCTGTATGAATCAATATCCATTCATCACACTGTAAACTACTGTACACTACTGCAAACTACTGTACACTACTGTAAACTACTGCAAACTACTGTAGACTACTGTACACTACTGTACACTATTGTACACTACTGCAAACTACTGCAAACTACTGTACACTACTG